GGCCCTCTCCCGCCCCCCGGGATCTATCGCCTCCGCGCCGCCCGCAGCTCGCCTCCCACCCCGGGCCTGGTCCCGGCCACGGCTCCGGCTCCGGCCGCTTCACTCCGCCGCCGCCGCCGCCGCCGCCGCCGCCGCCGCGAGCGAGCACGCACGCACACACGTCCTGCGTCCTTTCCCAGCTCCCTCTGACTCCTCCCATCGGGGTCGCGCACGTCACCGTCGTCTTCACGTTTCCTCGCGGAAACTCGCCCGTCGAGGAAGGAGGCGAGGAGGAGGAAATGGAATGTTGGGAGTGATGGAAGGGAGCTCTTGGAACCCGAGGCGTCAGCCACGTCTCTCCTACTCTCTTTCTTTTCCTTCTCGCCGTCCCTCCTGCCCCGAAGCCTTCTCCTCTGCTCCGAGGCTTGGGAAGATCCTGGAAAGTGTTTTGAGATCCTAATCAGCTACGGTTGCTAGTCCCGGGTGTAGGGCAGAGCGTCAAGTGCCTCTGTCTCTCCCTATTTACCATCCTGCAGCTCCGTCGTGGGCTTAGCTTTCCTCCAGTCAAAGTGGAAGTGGATGTCTTCTTTCCCACCCCTCACCCCAAGATTATCAGGGAAAGAGCAACAGTCACCCCCTACCACTTCTACCGTGTGTGATTGTTTGCAGGGCTTTGTTAGCGTCGCTTTCCTGCCGTGTAACCGCATCATCCTCAGGGTAGGATAGAAGATAAGGAATGTAGGTCAGCGTGCCTGGACCGGTGCTAGAAGAGGGCACAACCCCAAGCTTTCTTATCACCAAATTTCATTTTCCCGCTTTGTCTCAGATTCTCAGGCCTCGGCTTAGGAATACAAGTGGGGGTCTAGAAAGGCAATGTCACGAGCATTACATGAGTACCACAAACATTTCTTAGTGAGACGAAATAGAGAAGGTTGAGTGCAGGCGCTGATGCCCCTTATTCAATTCAGTTTGACGTTTGTTTGGCCTTTACCAGGTGCTAAGAGCACTATTTCAGGTGAAGACGCGGTCACTACTCTGATGGAGCAATGTAATTATATAATACTAGCTTACATTTATGTAGTGTTACAATTTATAGAATGCTTGACATACATTATTTCATTTGATGCTCACAGCAAATCTGTGAAAGAGGTACAAATGTTGTTTGCCCTATTTTACAGATGAAGAAACTGAATCCCAGAGAGGTTTTGAGTTAGCCAAGATCACACTACTGCAGGAGCAGAAGTTAAACTCAGATTTTCTAACTCTTAAGTCCAGTGCTTTCACTACACGATTTGCTCCCCTTTATGTTCTCCAGATTTTGGAGAATATATATGATTCAACAAGGCCTGGTAGAAGAGGTACTTCTTATCTAGCCAGTGAGATTGTAAGATTCTCAGGGGCAGTCACTATGTCTTCTTTTCTATGGCTGAAACTAATTTTTTACATCTTTATTTTATTTACTTACAAATTAAAGATGTCTTAAAAAATAAACCAAAGAGAAGTGAGAGGTCCAGGTATCCCAGGAAAGTATACAGAGGTCAATGGAAAGCCAGGCCCACTCACTCACCCCTCAACTATTCTCTTAGGCCTGGGTCTGTTAAAAAGGTTCACCTGTCCCGATAGGAGAATCCCAGAAGCCATGATGTCAAAGCAGAACAGAATTCCTGCACCATTGTCCATCTTGCCTCTTCCACTCTAGCCCTGAAGGATGGGGGCGAGCTGGCAGGGCAAGACATCAGGACTGTGGAGCCAGGAGAGCTGACTCTAATAAATAATAATAATAGAAATAATTATAATAGCTAACATTCACATAGCACTTATGTGCCAGGTACTGTGCTGAACGTTTTATAATAATCTCATTTGATCCTCACAACCCTTGTAGGTACTATTACTACACCATTTTAGAGAAAACTGAGGCAAACAAGTGGAGTGACTTGCCTAGGGTCACATAGCTTATAAGGGTCTCCATTTGGATTTGAATTCAGGTCTTCCTGACTCTTGGTCCAGTGCTTTATCCATTGCATCTAGTAGTTGCTTTATGAGGTATTGCAAGACTGTGCCAGGCTGCCTATAGAAATCATCCTATGTTCAACTTTCATGTCTTTCCACCAGATTATCCCCCATTCCTGGAATGCTCTCCCTTATGATCTCCACCATTACATTCCTGGCTTGCTTCAAGACTCAGCTCAAATATCACCTTCTGCAAAGAGGTCTTTTGCTGATGTTCCCCACCCCCATGCCATTTTTTAAAGATTACCTCCAATTTACATTGTATATATCTTGTAAACACAGTTATCTCCATGTTGTCTCCCCCCATTAGAATGTAAGCTCCTTAAGGGCAGGGGTTTTATTTTTGCCTTTCCTTGTATCCCCAGCACTTAGCACAGTGCTAGGCACTGACTGAAAAAGAAAAAAAGGCTTTGGTGACATTGCCCCCTGCTTCTTAATCTCATCTACCTCTGTAATAGATACAAGGCTCTTCTAGCAGAGAATCTGTGGGATTCTCTTCTTCCTTATATCTGCCTACTAGCTTTCTCTGATTTCCTTTAAATCCTAATTAAAATCCCATCTTCTACTGGAAGCCTTTCCCAACCCCTCAATTCTAATGCCTTCCCTCTCTCATTTACTTCCTATTTATTCTGTATATAGCTCATTGGTACATATTTGTTTGCTTGTCTCCTTCATTAAATTTCAAGCTCCTTGAGGGTAAGGACTGTCTTTTGACTCTGTGTATCCTAGTGCTTAGCATAGTCCCTGGCACACAGTGTTTATTATAAGTGTTTATTCATTGGGTAGGAAGGACTCTCACTTTCTCCACCTCACAGAGTGAACACCAGGCATTGGGAGGCTCCCAAAAAAGCTGGAGGCAGATGATCTATCTCTACAACCCCATTAATCCTGTTCCCTCTCACATTGCCAATATGTGTGTAGTATCTACTGACCTAAGGAAGTTAGGTAGAAGGTTCTACCATTCACCACCATTTCTAGAACAGTGCTGGACATTCAATAAGTGTTCTGTAAATGGCTTCAGTCTCAAAGCACAAAGGAGGGAGGGTCAAGAGAAAGGATGAGATGGCAGATTTGGGGCCTGAAAGTATCACTGAGAAACAATGGGGCAAACCCCTCCACCATAGCTCAGAAAAGCATAGAGGAGGCTTGTTAGAGAGAGGAGGGTTGGGGGACTGAGAAATAAAGCCTCAGATACAGAATGGGAGAACAGAAGGGAAGACTGAAGACAGTTGGAAGTGGAAGTTAGGGTGGGAAGACTCAAAGATGGAATAGAAGAAGCATGGAGATAGGAGTTCAGAAAAGGAGTGTCAGTTACTACTTTATTACATATATTTTTAAAACTTACACTATGTCATAGAAGCTCATAGATTCATATGCAATCCTTTCCATTTTTTGTATATTGAAATGTTTGTGTTTGTTGACTGTCACATTTTTTTTAAGAGCATCAAGTCAAGCATGGGATAGAAGGAATTGAGGAAATGTCAGAAGGAGAACTGAGATTAACCTGAAATATGGAAGAGATAAAGATAAAATCTGATGGGGTGGGCTGAGGATTGTTCCAGTGAAAAAGCATAAGGGAAAATGGTCAGAAATTGACCATAGGAATTAGACCAGAAAAGGCCCTTGGTCTAACCCTCTTATTTTAAAGATGGAGAAACTGAGACCCACAAAGGGGAAATTACTTGCTTGTGTCACAAAGTAAGTGGGAGATCCAGAATTCAAACCCAGGACCTCTGATTCCCAGTGCAGTGGGCTGAAGCAAGGTTAAATATGGAGTGGTGGGGTGGGACCTAAAGAAGACTCAGGGGACTTGGGAATACGGTGGAGGATCATTGGAAGGAGGACTAGTAATGGGCAGGAGGGCATAGGGCTGACATGCACACCTAGTGTCAGGGATGAGAGGAGGCAAGGCTACGTGGAGGATAACAGACAGGAGGAGACGGGCTGGGAGTAGGGTGGGAAGGTTATGGGCAAGAAGAAAGAAGCTATAGATAATAGCTAGCATTTATATAGAGCTTTAAGATTGGCAAAGTGCTTTACATATGTTGTTTCATTTGATCCTCACAACAACCCTGTGAAGTAGGTTCTATTTTTACTTCCATTTTACAGATGAGAAAATTGAGACAGGTTAAGTGACTTGCACAGGGTCAGTAGCTAGTGAGTGCCTGAACAGGATCTGAACTCAGGTCCTCCTGACTCAAAGTCCAACACTATCCACTAAATCATATAAGTTCATGGATAGAGGACAATCAGGGGCTGAGAAGGCTCAAAGGTCCTTGGCAAGAGAGGTGAGCCTACGAGCAAGAGGTAGGGGAGTAGTAGAGTAGCTAGCATGTGAGGGAATGATGGATTATGGGCAGGAGGATGGGTCCGAAGGGAAGGATGGAAAGTCAGGAGCAGGAGACAGACCTAGGGGCAAGATGGAGGGTCGTAAAAAGGGCGGTAGTCTCAGGTCGGGGTCCAGGATATTGCCTACAGTTGCAGAGGGAGCAGTATACCTCCACGGCTCTCCCTTTTCTGCCCAGGACCTGCCAGCGCGCTCCCCAATAGAGAACCTTGGTCTTCGAGCAGCTCCCCACGCCTCCCAGACCCGCTCTTTATTCAGCTGTCTCGGGACATCGTAACAAGACCCAGGTCTCGGACTCTGCACTGGATCCCGCCCCACTCTGCCTCTGGGAGGTGGAGACCCGGCCCTCCCACGCGGCCCGCCCCCCACTCCCTTCAGCTCCCGCCTGGGGGCGTGCGCTCCCCTCCAGCTGCCAGCCCTGTCTCCGCCCCGCTCCCCGCCCGCCCGTCACACACACCCCCTTCGCCCCAAGCGCCGGCAGCTGGGAGCCGCCGCCCGCCCGCCGCCTCCGCTCCTAGCCCGCGGGGCTGCGCCGCCGGCTCCGGCTCCGGCTCAGGCTCGGCTAGAGCTCCGCTCTGGCTCCCGGGGCTGCGTCGGGGTCGCGATGGCCTTGTTGGGGGCAGGGAGGCCGAGGCTTTGAAGGGGAAAGGGGGGGACTGCCACCATGGATTCTGAGCAGCGGCCCGCGGCAGCAACGGCGGGTGCAGGAGACGGAGGCACCCTGGGGCTGGAGGCGGCCCCCCCGCCTGCCCCCGGCCCGGCTACCGCCGTCCCAGGACCCTCGCCCGTTCCGGGGCCCGAACTAGGGCCCGGGCCGATGCGGCGGCAGCTCGGGGCCCTCCTCCAGCCAGCCGTCAACAAGTTCTCCCTCCGGGTATTCGGTAGCCACAAGGCGGTGGAGATAGAGCAGGAGCGGGTCAAGTCAGCCGGAGCCTGGATCATCCATCCCTACAGCGACTTCCGGTACCACGGGCCCGGGGAGGCTCCGGGGACCCAGGGGACCCCGCCCCGTCTGACAGACGATCAGATACTGCAGGTCCCAGGGATACCCGGGGGGCCTCGGACCCTGCCCATCCTTGACGGACACGTCACTTCCGGGCCGGCGGAGGGTCACCAAGTGGGCAAGGATTGGGATCAGTAGACACCCTGTCCCCCACCCCACCACCACCACCACCACTACCACCACCACCCACCATTGTGTAGACTTCTTGTTTTCGAGGGGGCTGGTCCCGTTTTCGTTGGGATTGCTGCAGCTGTGGGAAAGACAGCTGGGGGTGCTGGTGGGGGGCAGGTATTTCCGGTCTTGGGGGTCCCGGCTCCACCCTCGACGGGTTCTTCCGGTCCTAGAAAGAACAAGTAGGGTGGGGATTCCCCGGGTTGTATCCAGTCCTGGTGTTTGGGGCAAGGGAAATCAGGAGGGAGATTTCCGGGGGCCACTAGAAATGGGCAAGGCTCTCACCCTTTTGACCTCTCACCTACAGGAAGCCACTCCAGGGCTAGGAGGAGAAATCTTGGGGACACTAGATGGGATGAGGCTGATGGGAGAGTTAGAATGATCAAAGCTCTCTTCTGGGCGCTGTCCTTGGTGCTGAAAGCGAGTGGCGCGAGCTCTAGGGGGCGGGGTGGAGAGGGAGAGTATGAATGTTGGAGGCTGGCCATGGGGGTCAGGGACACCTTCCGGTAGCTTCCCTGAGCCCCGGGAAGGTTAAGGGGGGGTTGAGCAGTCAAAAACCTTCTAACCCATTTTTAGAGGTTGGATCTCCAACTCCACATTGCTGTAAGAGGAAGATGTCCCTGTCCTTGGGGAAAGTAAAGCACAGCTCTTGGATGGGGAAAGGATTTGGGAGTAGCACCTAAATTTAGGATATAAAGGTTGGGAGTGGGTCCAGAGCCATTAGACCCAATTGTAACAATGGATGTCCATTTTTTTTAAACTCACCACATGATTTGCTTTAAATCTTGAAACATTCCCTTCCCACCCCTCCTCCTTTGTTCTCCCTACTCCTTTCTTCCCCTTCCCTCTTCTGCCAGGGCCCTCGCTAATACCACAGCTGCACTTTTCTTGTCTGTTACCACATTACGGTGTCTTACCCCCCTCTCCTCCACCGGCAATTTCACTATTCATTTGTATTGCCTCCAGTTGCCTGTATATCGTTCCCCTCACCCCCCTCCTCCACTTCACTTCTAACCGTTTGGCCCCTCCTTACCCTTCCCAATGTATCACCCGCTGGGCGTGTGACTGCCTGTGAGTGACTCAGGCTGTGAAGATCCTATTTTGCTTGAAAGTGCTCTCACTCCTCTCCCAGCTTCTGGTACAAACTTGGGTGTCCTTTAGGAGATAAGAAAGGTACAGAGCATGGCAGAATAGCAGAGCTGGCTCAGTTTTTTTGTTCCTTTTAAAATATAAAAGGCATTTACCATTGAGGTGGGAGGGAGAGAAAGGGACTGAATGGCTGGAATCCAACAAATTAAAGAGTCTTCAAGTAAGAATGATAGAATGGTGAAATAATTAGAGGCATTGAGGAGAGAAGCAGGAGTGAAGGGAAAGAGCTAGGGTGGGTATTATAGAGAGAGGAAAACATAATGAACTTCTAAATAAGTTGCAAACAAAATGCAAATTGGTCTCTCTTATTGTGGCTTCTAGAAGCTGAGGGTCCTTTTGGTTGCCTTGAATAGAAAGAAAGTCTGGAAGTTAGAAGGTGGGAAATACCTAGGACTGGGTCACATCCCTGGAAAGCCCAGACAATTAAAAAAAATTCCCTTTGGATAAGGGAGTTTCCATTCCCTTTTATTCCTGATCTCTCCTCTCTCAGTCCAGCCTCATACTCAGCTGGAATATCAGTGGATGGAAGGAGTTAGAAAGGATGAGAGGCCAAGGTGGTATGGAAAATTTCTTCATAAAGATATTGTCCTTGCCCTTGGAAACTTTTCATTGTTATGGCGGAGGGGCAGCTAGGTGGCGCAGTGGATAGAGTACTGGCCCTGAAGTCAGGAGGACCTGAGTTCAAATCCGACCTCAGACCAAACACTTGACACTTACTAGCTGTGTGACTCTGGGCAAGTCATTTAACCCCAATTGCCTTAAAAAAAAAAGAATTCATTGTTACGGCGGAAATAGGACAACTCTACCACCTTTCCCACCTTAAAGACACAAAGATAGAGAAACAAAGGGGGTTAATGCAACTGGCATGGATAGCGATAGAATGTAGAGAATATACCCAGGAAAGTCAGTCCTAGAGAGGAATTATTCCACAGGACTGGGAAGACTAGGGGGGCTCTAGAAAGGGGAACAAAATATTAAAGACCTGGAGACAGAAGAGGATGAGACAGAAGTAGATCATGTAGAAAAGGAGTGCTTAGAGTCCTCACTCCTCTTCCTTTCCCACTAGATTTTACTGGGACCTGATCATGCTACTATTAATGGTGGGGAATCTTATTGTCCTCCCCGTGGGCATCACCTTTTTCAAGGAGGAAAACTCCCCACCCTGGATTGTCTTCAATGTCCTCTCCGACACCTTTTTCCTGCTGGACCTGGTGCTGAACTTCAGGACAGGGATTGTGGTGGAAGAAGGAGCAGAGATTCTCCTGGCTCCTCAAGCCATCCGAACTCGCTACCTCCGCACCTGGTTTTTAGTGGATCTCATCTCCTCCATTCCAGTGGACTACATCTTCCTCGTGGTGGAGTTGGAACCACGATTAGATGCTGAGGTTTACAAGACAGCCAGGGCCCTTCGAATTGTCCGTTTCACCAAGATCCTCAGCCTTCTGCGGCTGCTCCGCCTCTCCCGCCTCATCCGATACATCCACCAATGGGAGGAGGTGGGGTGGGGAGGTGGGCAGGGTGGGATTTATCTCATCCCTTAGGGGACAAAGAGTTCAAGGACTAGAGAAGTGGGTGGAGTTTCAAAGGTAGGGTCTCTGGGGCATAACATCATCAGGTGTGGGGAGAAGAGAGAGGGGGTTTTTAGGGTTATTGTTCTTACCAGAGAGAGGGCTGGGATAAAGTTTCTGAAGATAGAACTATAGGAAGATGATGATATCATGGTTGGATTGATGGTATATAGTACAAAACTACTGCTATAAAAGTGTTTGGAGCTAAGTCAGATCTAAGGGAGAGAAAGGGGAAGACCAAGGTAAGAGAAAGGGGAGATAGATCAAGGGACTATAAGAATGTGGAAGATGCTGAGTGGACTCAAAGAGTCTCCCTCTCTCCTAATAGGAATAATAGTTAACATTTATATGTGTTTTAGGGTTTGCAAAATGCTTTACATATTTCACTTGCCTCTACCCTCCTTTTAGTCATTGTAAGGCTGATGATAATTCAACATTTTCGTACACATTTATTAAGGGCTATAAGGTATCTTACCACTCTCTCTAGGGCTATGCCTGTAGTAGTAACTGTAGGATATATTGGGCAGGGGCGGGGGGGGGGGGAGAGGAATTAAGTGGGGTAATGCAAGGACATGAGAACTAGAAATATTTGCAAAATTGTGAAGGGGGCAGGGACCAAGAGAGAAGTGACCCTGCCCACAGCCCCTGCACACTCTCCTCCCCCAGATCTTTCACATGACCTATGACCTGGCCAGTGCTGTGGTTCGGATCTTCAATCTCATTGGGATGATGCTGCTGTTGTGTCACTGGGATGGCTGCCTACAATTCCTGGTCCCAATGCTCCAGGACTTTCCTCCTGACTGCTGGGTTTCCATCAACCACATGGTGGTGAGACACTTCTCTCTTCCTCATTATCTATTCCCTGGGCTGCCAGGGGTCACTCTTAGGTCTCTCTTGCACCATTAGGGGTGGGTGGGAGCATGAGCTGGCTTATGGTAAGGCATGATGGAGAGACAGATAAGAGTGGGAAAGATGTATAAGGGGAGGGAAAAGATGTGTGAAGGCAGAAGAAAGAGAGAAAGGATCAATTAGCCAACATGTATCAAGTGCCTACTACGTGCCAGGTACAATGCTAAACACTGGATAGGACAAGAGATGGGAAAGAGGTGAGGGGAGAAGTGGGAAAGAGAAGCAGAACAGGAGAACTATCTCTCCCAATATGCTTGAATGGCCCTTGGGGATTGGTCTTCCTTTTGTGATTTCCCAAGCCCTGCTGAGCTAAGGGCCATAACTCTGTCTGTGATGTTAGGGGCAAGGCAAAGAGGCTGTTGAATCAACGACTAAGAGCAGAAAAAATTTAGAGGGTAAGAGATCCAGGCCCCTTGGTGACTCAGCCCCACTCTCTTTTTCCTCAGAACCACTCGTGGGGCCGTCAATATTCTCATGCCCTCTTCAAAGCCATGAGCCACATGCTATGCATAGGCTATGGGCAACAAGCACCTCAGGGCATGCCAGATGTCTGGCTCACCATGCTTAGCATGATTGTGGGTGCCACGTGCTATGCCATGTTCATTGGTCATGCCACTGCCCTCATCCAGTCTCTTGACTCATCCCGTCGCCAGTACCAAGAGAAGGTCAGCAGGGGTAAAGAGAGGGGTAGAGGTGGAGGTGAACCCAACTTGTGCAGAACATTGGGGAATGGACATCCTACTTGGATGCCCATTCTAAATTGTGCCCTTTTGGGTCCCTACATCTTTGCCCCTCCCCTTCTCCCCATCTATTTGCTTTGTCTCCATGTTTGTTTTCTTGTGTTTGGGGTCTCTGACCCCTTGCCTGTGGGTTCCATGTTTCCTCATATCTGGGTATATCTATGTCTGGGTCCCCTTGTACTTTACACATGGCATCTTCCACTAATTCCATTCTCTAATGCTTGTGTACCTCTGTGTTGATATCTTTGTATTCGTGCCTTCTTGTCTGTGCCCTTTGACTTTTGTTTCCATATTTCTGTTTCTGTGTGATCTTATGATTGTGTCTCCGTGCCCACATGTGCCTTTAGGTCTGTGCCCTTGCTGTATCTACTTTTCTCTATTCTTCGCTGTGTCTGTGTGTCTCTGTCACTCTATGTCCTCATGTCTGTCTCTCCATCCCTGTGTGTCCCTGACCCTGTCTCTATGTACATATTCCCATATCATTATCTCTATGCACCTGTCTTCATGTCTGTGTGGGTCTCCATGCCCCTATCTCCATATCTATGTCCTCATATCCCTTTATGTCCTTGGGTCCTTGTGTTCTTGTCTTTGTCAATGTGTCCATATCCCTGTGTTGATGGCCTTTGTATGGGTGGGGCTGGTGCTTCCAGTATAAGCAGGTGGAGCAGTACATGTCCTTCCACAAACTGCCAGCTGATACCCGTCAGCGCATCCATGAATACTATGAACATCGCTACCAGGGCAAAATGTTTGATGAGGAGAGCATCCTGGGGGAGCTGAGTGAGCCACTGCGTGAGGTAGGGTGGGGTAGAGGATAACACTCTTGAGATGGGGATGGGGTACTGAATGATGCTGAGTAATGTAGGGGGGACAGGAGATCCTAGTGTGGGATGACTGGGAACTTTGAGCAACAGGAACTTCTAAGGTTAGGCGGCATCTTCAGGGGATAGCTTCTCTGAAGGTAGAGTCTTAGAGTAATGTTTCCCATACTGACCCTATCTCTTTCATTCCTCTTAAGAGGTTGGGGTCTTTGAAGCTGATTATGTTCAGTGGTGGGTGGTTCTCTGTCCTGAATATGAAAATTTCCCAGTGAGTGATAACCTAACTGACCTCACCTTTTCCCTCTGCCCAGGAGATCATTAACTTCACCTGTAGGGGCCTGGTGGCCCACATGCCCCTGTTTGCTCATGCTGACCCTAGCTTTGTTACTGCCGTGCTCACCAAACTTCGATTTGAGGTCTTCCAACCAGGTGACCTCGTGGTTCGTGAGGGCTCAGTGGGCAGAAAGATGTACTTCATCCAGCATGGACTACTCAGTGTGCTGACTCGGGGTGCCCGGGACACTCGTCTCACTGATGGCTCTTACTTTGGGGGTAAGCAGGACTGGGATAGAAGTGGGGAAAAGATATAATGGGAAAACAAGGGAACTTAAAGATAAAGGTGGAACCAGTCCTAGGTTCCATGTTCTTTTCTTTTTCTTTTTTTCTGGGGGGGGGAGGGTTGGTGCACTACGTCCTAAAGAGGCAGCTCCAGTGGGTGAGAGCAAAAATATCTTGGGGGCAGTGCTAAAAAAGATCTGAGGCACTTAGGTTTTTCCTTTCAAGCTTACCTTTGATATTCATTTGAACCTGATTTCACTTAGAAAAAAAGTGCGCTCATTAGTGGTACTCTGGGAACAAAAGAGTATAGAGACACATAGACACATACAGCATGCCCTAGGTTCATAAACCCGTAGGAACAACAAATGAGGAACAGAGAAGTGTGAGGCTGGCAGTTCAGTTGGGAAACAAGGCTATATCTGGGGCCCGGGAATCCCTGCCTCATCAACAGCTCTTTTTTGGGGGGCCAAGTGAAATGCTCTCTCTTCCAGATAGCAACAGCGGGAGAAGAGGGTAGGGAAATAAGAGAGATCAGGAACCTTTCTATTAGTAGGAGCTGGGGGATTATCAGAGCATTTGAGAGACCCCAGAAGGAACTGTGAAAAAATTTATATCATGTCCTCAGAGAATTCTAGTAAGTATCCCTTAAGGGAAAGCAATCCTTGTTCTCAAACCACAGATTTTGCTCCTACAGTAGAGAGCAGCAGTGCTGGGGGAGGTCATGCTAAGAGGTGGATATGAGAGTTCAGGTGGATGATGGGATGCTGATACCCTGCCCCTCTCCTTTACCCTCAGAAATCTGCCTACTGACTAGGGGCAGGAGAACAGCTAGCGTGAGGGCTGACACCTATTGTCGCCTCTACTCACTCAGTGTGGACCACTTTAATGCGGTACTAGAAGAATTCCCCATGATGCGGAGAGCCTTTGAGACAGTGGCCATGGACAGGTTGCACCGAATTGGTGAGTCCCTACTTCATCCACCCTAAATGGTGAGGCTCTTTCTCTCTCTCTCTGTCTCTCTTTCTTTCTTTTTTCCCCTTGAGTGAAAATCCAAACATTTGGCCTTTCCTTCCCTCTATTTCCCTGCTCATGGCCCATTGCTCACATTTGCAGTGCCATCTTTCCCATCCTACCCCTGGCCACACTGCATTCTGCAGCTTGGAGGCTCACCCCTTAGCCCAGGTCCCATCTCTCTGTCCTACTTTTGACTTTGTTCAGGGTTTCCCCCTCCCCCTTAACTTTAAATAGGATGTGCCCAATACCACCCCATAAATGCCTACTTTTTATCCCATATGGGTGAGACACATCTGAAGATCTCCCCTTACCAACTCAGACCCTGTCATCCTTTGACACCGCCTTATCTGTGACATCCTTAGGAAAGAAAAATTCCCTGCTTCAGCGGAAGCGTTCAGAACCCAGTCCAGGAAGTGGTGGTGGTGGAATCATGGAACAGCATCTGGTACAGCATGACCGGGACATGGCCCGGGGAGTAAGGGGGCTGGCCCCAGGCGCTGGTGCTCGCCTGAGTGGGAAGCCAGTGCTGTGGGAACCCCTGGTCCATGCCCCGCTACAGGCTGCTGCAGTCACCTCTAATGTGGCCATTGCTCTAACCCATCATGGGGCACCTCTGCCCCTCTCCCCAGACTCTCCCGCTGCTCTTCTTGCTTGCTCTGCTCGTCGATCAGGTGGCTCACTGGCCTCACCCCTGGTGCCTGCTCGGGGACCCCCTTTGTTGGCTCGAGGTCCTTGGGCATCAACGTCCCGCCTGCCCGCACCAGCAGCCCGGACTCTTCACGCCAGCTTATCCCGGGCAGGCCGCTCACAGGTTTCCCTGTTAGGTCCCCCGCCTGGTGGGGGTGGACGGCGGCTGGGGCCAAGGGGTCGGCCACTTTCGGCATCACAACCTTCACTTCCTCACCGAGCAGCTGGGGAGGGCTCCCCCGGGCGCAAGGGCTCAGGAGGCGAGCGCTTGCCTCCCTTGGGGCTCTCATCCAGGATCCCAGGTACCGCCCAGCCCCTCAGGCCTCCTGCCGCTGATCCGGGTACCACCAAGGGCCCCCAACTTCCTGCTAACATGTGAGAACTCCTGGGTACATCTAGCCTTGATTGTGAGAGAAGGTGTGGGTGCTTTGATGTCTATGGGTACCACGAACAAAGCATCACACACTGTGGATTGGATGTCTCCCTTCACTGCTAAGTGGAAATAGCCCTGCCTGACGTGTCTCCATCACTGCCACATAGAAGTATCTCCATACCCTTTGCTTAGAGCATCTCCCTGGCCATAGACCTTCCCAGATATAGGCACTTTGCCCTTTTCCCCACTCAACAAGGCATGAGGATCTTCTTATCCTCATCACTGCCAGGTAGAAAGATGTCTTCTGTTCTCCCAGCTCCTGCATCCCTCTACTCATGAGCCCTTTCGGGGCAGACACCCCATCAACTGCCTAGTGTGGCTACCTTCCTGTTCCCCCACCACTGCCAAAACCACAGGCCTCATGCCCCTTGTTTGGGCATTCCGCCTCTGCTCTCATCACTGCCATTTGTAGGCACCTACCCGTCTACGGCCCTCTCAGTGAATACAAATACCTGTTGCCCAAACGGGTATCTCTTGCCAGCTTTCCTCTATCCTATCTTTGTGGTACAAAAATCTTCTTGTGAACAAAGAGCCACATCCTCCCTATGCTCCTAACCAGTTGTGCCCCTGGGGATGGGGAATGTCCAGCCCCTCCCTAATGAATGTGCCAGCCTAGGAGCCCTAGCAGCTGAATCCTTAGGTAATTAATGATTTATTTATGTATTGCCCTCTCTCTTAGGGGGAGGGGTAAAGACAAAGAGGGTTTCTCTCCTCTTGCCAGCACTGTGGCCCTTGCCTAGCTCCATCAGCAATACTAAGACTCCAGTTCCCCATCCCCATGGGGGGATGGAAGGGCCACCTGGGGTAGGCGTGGGGGCAGTTTTTACTTTTAGGTGTCTTTTTTTCCTATGCTGTGAGAGAGTGGGGAAAGGGTGAGAATCCAAGTGGAGTGGGGGAAAGATGGGAACAGGGTAGGGGAGGGGCAGACCAGCCAGCACCTCTGCCTTCTCAGGGATACAGGAAGCCCCTCAACCTCCCCCTCTGTCCTTGTCTTCCCTTTCCATAACATTAGCCTAGGAAGAACAAGAGCCAGAACCCTGGCATAAAGCTCCCCTGCCAAGCTCTGGGCTCTGGGATTCTTAGTGTGTGTATGTGTGTGTGCGCAGGAATTATTTTATTGGTTTTTTTTAATGTTTGTTTACAGATAGTTGAATATATATTAAAAAAAAAAGAAAAATATGTCCCTTTTGGCTCCTGGTGTGCATGGGGTACAGCAGTGGGCTTTAGGATAAGCATATGAACACTAGATTAGGGGAAAGGCATTTAAGCAAATGATAACAGGGTGTTCACTGAAGAAGAAGAGGAGGGGCGAGCATTGTCTGGGGGACAGCAGGCAAGATGAGAAAGGAAGTTGGTGATGACTTTTGGGACTGGCCCAGATGTCAGCGCCACCCAATATCATTTCCTTCTCTAGCTTGGAGTGAGATATTGTGGTGTCATAAAAGCAATGCTAGAACTGGGGCCAGAGGAGCTGGTTTCAAATCCTGATTCCCACTCACTATTTAGGTTGTCTTGGGCTAATGACCTCTTTTCTCTAAACCTCAGAATCAGGACTAGATCAGTTTTAAGGTCTGTTCCAGCTCTGTTCCTTGGGATTCTATGAGTCCAGCTGTTCTTTCAATATTGGCAGCAGCTAATGAGTTAATGCTACAGGGTGCAGGATTTGAACCTTCTGAGAAAGGGTCATTACTTTCTCTACTTAAGGAATTCTGGGATCCCCTGAACACATGTTGCCCTCTCCTGTATATCATCTCTCATTCCCACTACTGAGTGGGTAAGAGGAACTCCGGCAGAAGGAATTAACCAGCTGAGCTGAGACCAATGACTTAGGGCATTTTAGGGGCCAGGTGGGGATTGGATGCAATCATCGTCAGGCACATTTGAGGATGATGGATATTTTATTGAACACTTCCAAGAAGTTTCAAGGAACTAGGAAACCTGGTGACAGAGGAGTGCCCCCAGGCACAGGGCACAGGACGTAGCAACTAGAAAGGGGCTGTGGTCTCTGAGAAGGTTTCCAAAGGGATGAAGTTTCAGCATGTGGGTGGCAAGTGGAGGAATTATCTTTTAGAGTTGGGGGAGGGTCTATATAAAGGGGTGTAATATTGGGTGGGGGAAGTCACCTACATTGGAATATAGTCCTGAGGGTTCAGGCACAGGTGGATAGATTATGGGAACATGGAGACTCAGGATACACTTAGCACCCTCATGATGTTTGTGTAGCCCGAGCCAGGTCGCCAGCCTGTCACTACAATCACAAGGTCCCCAACTCGGAGGAAACCACGGAGCTTCCCTGGGTAGAGAAGAGGGAGGGGGTGAAACTATACCTAGGACAATCTGAGTAATAAAAATTAATTCTCAGTCACTGAGTGGATGTGGGACAGAGACAATCACACCATATTCCCCTACCCACTCCCCAACCTTCCCACCCCTACCCCCACTAATCCCCAGGGACCTATAGTACTATAAGGATTCACTGGATGCCAGTGAGCATGATAAATTTGGAAGGGAGCATTGTTGCCTTAATAGCTTCTCAATCCCACCTGTGTTGCCTTGGTGATAGAGAATGGGGGTGGGAGGTAAAGATGCTTTGAATGAGGTAACTGACATTAATACTATGTAAGCTGTCATAAGTGTTTTTTAGGCCAGTAGCTAAAGGCTGCTTTTCCCGACTGTTGTCTTCCTGAGCAGAACCACACCTAAGGTGGGGTGAATGGGGCTTTGTCTCTGGAGAGAAACATTTAGAGGACTCTTAACAGCACTTGCCTTCCTCCTACGATATAAAAGCAAGCATGCTTAGCAACTTCTTAGCATGAATAACTTCTGTTATAGCTATATGTCAGGTACGTAGCAGTTGCCTATACAGCAATAGCCTTGAGTTGTCCCCTCAATCGAATTGCCCTAGTACAAAACTGGTCCCTAAGTTAGTGTGCAGTTCCATCTGCCTGGTGCCTGCGATAACACAAAATCTCCCCAACAACGTAAGGTGATGGCATTATGTACTAGCTCTTCTCCAGATTCAAGGGAAGAAAATAAATCAGCCTGTTTGTCACATGCTTTCATGTCAACTGGGTTAGGTGGCTTCTCGTATACAAAAGAGGTCTAATAAAGGGTCTTGGGAGGAGAGGAGTTGGGGGAGGTGGAGGGATGGTATCCCAGAGTTGCCATGGAAACATGCCTAGAAGGCACTAGGGAGAGAGACTAGGGTTGTCTTGGGTGAAGAAAGCAGAAACTTGGGAAAAGCTGTGGAATCCTCACCACTTTCAATGCCAAATTGAACACGTCGGTCAACATCATCAGTCCAGATGGGTTCTGGGGGGTCTTGGTAGAGCACAGGAAAAACACCACGACATAGATGGGCCTGGCGTGCACTCTGAGCAGAACGGGTGACAGCAATGACAGCTGCTCGAGGACGGTACCGGGATAGGAGTTGTGCCGAGCTAGGGGAGACAGAGCATGTAGCTTAGTGGAAAAGCCACGGGATTGTGAATCGGGAGACCTGGTTTCCAGCCCAAACTCTGCCACTGACTTTCTCTGTGTCGATCTCTTAAGGCTTCAGTTTCCCCATTTGTAAAATGTTCTATCTACCTCACAACCAGTGCTGTAAGGATCAAAGAAGGTAATGGATATGAAAATACTTCGAAAAATCTAAAGCCCTTTACAAAGACTAAGCATTGGTATTAGGTACTTGGGACCCTCCCTAAGCCCCTGGATTGCTATATCTTTTCCAAACCAATAATTCAGTACTCTTCACATCTTTAGATGTTCAGCCTGCCTCTCTGTCCTCATGTTTATTCCCCACCTCTGCCTGGGTGCCTTGTTGGTCTCTCACCGGCCAGATGTTGTCAGCACAACTATAGCAGAAGCACAGCACTTGAATGAAGCCTCCACAGCACCAATGGCAGTGACCTCGGTAGGGTCACGGCTTAGGGGAGCCGCCCGACGAAGTTCTTCAAACAGCTGCCGGTGATACACTGCAGCCTCTGCCTCCCTAGCAATCTGGAAGTACCAGGGGGTCAGGGTCAGGCCTTGATATCTGGCCTGGATAGCCCTGGATATCTGGATCCCAGACATGCCCCACATTCCCCAACAGCCCCATACCGCATGCTGCATCTTCACAGCCTTGACAGGGTAACTACCCTTGGCTGTCTCCCCAGATAGCATGATACAGTCAGCCCCATCCAGCACAGCATTGGCCACGTCACTTGTTTCTGCTCGTGTTGGCCGGGCCTTGGTGATCATGCTTTCCAGCATCTGGAAGTACCGTTTCCATGAGGGCCAAGGGTTAATGCTTTCTCTCCCACCCTATTCAATCCAGGCATTCCTTGCCACTCCAGGGGGTGTTCTCCCATCTCATGACCCTGTCTCAGTGTAGTTGTGATATGCTAAGGTCAGCTATACCCCACTCCCATATCACAGCAGGAGAGTCAAGGGACTTTAGGGGGAGGTTGGTGCCCACAATACCTATGACATGCCCCTTCTCTCTCCCAGACCTGTGTGGCACAGACAACGGGTTTGCCAGCCAAGTTGCAGCGTCCAATCATCATCTTCTGTGCCAAGAAGACTTTCTCAGCTGGGATCTCGATGCCCAGGTCACCCCGTGCCACCATGATGCCATCGCTCACCTCCAGGATCTCATCAAACCTGGGAGGGGGCACAGCCAGGAGATAGTGAGCAAAGTCAAGGAGAGTAGGGCAGAGTCAGGAAAACAGGGGTTGGGGACACTTCATTTCAATTCAATTTACACTTGGAGAGGAATCAGGGAACTGGAGGTGGGAGCAGGGGGTGGGATAAAAAAAAGTCAAGGGCTGGAAGCCTCACTTCTCAACGCCCTCGTGGTTCTCGATTTTGCTGATGATCTTGATGTTCCGTCCCTGAGGCCCCAGGGCTTCACGTACAGCAATCACGTCTTGGGCCTTTCGCATAAAGGAGGCGAAGATTATATCCACACCGTGCTCCACCCCAAAGCGCAGGTCCAGAACATCCTGCTCGGACAAGCCCGGCAGATCCACTTCTACACCAGGCAAGTTCACCCCCTTCCTGCTTCCCAGGATCCCGCCGTTCTCAACCTCAGTCACTAGGCCCTCTGGGTCTGTGGAATTCAGAGGCCAATAAGACACGATTTCGTGCAATTTGGTGGTCTTTTAAGGGGTGTGGCCTAAGGTAAGGGGTGTGCCCTGAGACTATACAGCAGTGGCGGGTGAAAGGGTTGGGGGGAGGGACATGTTCTCGGGGAGGCGGAGCAATGCTTGGGGCGGGACAAGGGGAAATTCAGAGGGAGAGTCCAAGGACAAAGGGGTGTGACCTGAATTGGAAGTAGGGCGAGGGGCTAACTGCTGTTCACCCACCTTTATGCTTAACCACCAAGGAGATAAGACCGTCGTCGATGTAGATCCGGCCCCCCTCTGGCACTACCCGGACTATGTTAGGATAGTCCACCCACACAGTGCTTGCATCCCCTCGAGTCCGAAATGCCGGGTCCACTGTAACGCGGACCTTGGAACCCTTCACTATCTCCACTTCTGATTCTGGGCCCTAGGGAAGGGAATGGGAAGTAAGAGCAGGGGTGGGATGTGTGAGAGCTTAGTCTCCAGCCTTAATCTTGCTCCGGACCCTTCTTTCTTTATGGACCCTTTCTTCCTGTAGCACAGATTACTAGAGAATAGCTTTGTATGTCACCTGTTAAGGGTCACCAGCCCTATCCCTGCCCACACTCATCCCTAGTCCCTCTTCTTCACCCGACTCTTCCCAGTACCTGGTTTCAGCTATCCCAGATTCTGCGTCCTCTGGGTCACTGCCCTAACCTTATTCAATCCTCAGCCTCATTACAAATTATTGGCCCAATCCCTTATCGATTTGGCCCTGCCCACACCCATCCCTAGTCCCTCCGTTCTAGCACCACCCCCTCCTGACTCTACGCTGCCCTTCCTTTCTTTGTTCCAACCGCCCTCGCTCCTCCAGTACCGCCCAAATCTCTTACTGCCCAGGTCCTCACCCCCTGGAGGATCCCGGTGCGGATCTCAGGCCCCTTGGTGTCAAGCGCTATGGCCACGGGCCGGTAGCTCAAGGAGGAGCCTGCGAAGCTCTCGACGGCTTCTCTCACGTTG